TTTTTGTTTATTTTGTTGCCAACTTTCAAGGGTGCAGGCAGAGTCGGAGCTGAAGATTAGGGAGGAGACGATTTAAAGTGCCCGCCCGTATCGAGCGGTTGAACTTTCGCTCGCACTTGCTAGTGGTCGCAGTTTCAGAGTCTATGAAACGGATCCGAACGATGCCATACGTCAAGTGCACGCGCTGGCGGACGAGAAAGGAATTGAAGAGAGTGTGCGAATCGGAGACATTTACGCAGTGATGATCGTTCATAACGTGCGCAAGTCGAACTTCAAAAAGGTACGCACGCGTAAGTGGATGCGGTAACTGTGAATGAGCAGCTTCTATGAGGCTCTCGCAAGTTTTTCGATTCACGTTATGAATGATCTAGATTCCGTTCGGGATTGCGAGAAGAAGCGTAGTTCTCTGAAAGGGAATTGAAACCGTCCCACTCCCCCTTCCCCCCCTGCCTTCCCTCGAACCGTGCGCCGTCTTTTCAACGCTCTTTCAGCATTTCTATTTTGGATGCATTATGAAATTAGCGTTCATGTCTTTCCCTCATTTTTAACCTTATTCAAAAAAACCCCTTTTCTGATCCGCTCGTTTTTAAATAGTTCAAAACTCATTTCAGGCTTACCGCAAATTCTCTCATCTCCGTATGTCTCTCATTTCAGGCTTACACGCTGATCGAACAACTGCAGCAGCGTCAGCCTCGTATCGATGTGTCACGCTATGTGAATGCACAGATTTTGGACACTATCTGTGATGCACTACAGATCAAACGTATCACCGCAATACTGAATACTGCTCAAGAGGTGTGCTCTGACGAGGACGGCAATGCGGGAGGGGTCGTGGAATACAGTCATGCGATGAAGCGCCAGTTACAGCAAGAGACTTCTTTCGGAGAAAGTACTCTCCGTCAGGTACTCGACTGACTCCTAAGAAACCGTTTATTTTATGACCTGATCAGATCAGATGAAATCATAAATCATATGATTTAAAATGCTCTTGCTTTTTCTCTCTCCTTTTCTCTCAATCTCTGTCTTTCTTCTCCTCTCTCTCCTGTTGTTTGTTTTTTTCGAATGACCTTTCTCTGTAATGAAATAATTTTTCATCCAACCATACATAATCGCATACAACTCAGTACAATACAATACAATAGAAGCAAATTTCAAGCGTGCACTTGAATTCAATGCGTCAACATTAATAATACTGTCGCCTGCACATTTTATGTGGCATGCGTCTCTCTTTGATTCGGTTTGAATTTTAACAGTAAGTGTTGGTATTTGCTGAACCAAGGTATCGAGGTACTGACCTCAGGGTATTAAATTACCGACTTGTTCGTAACTCAGATCAAGGCAAGTGTTCTTTTAAAAAAATAACGCTGAAATGAACATATATTCTCACTCATCTTTCGATTCTACTTCGCAATTTGATGATTGAAAACCAGTTCTGTGCAATCCATTTGTATCCATTGGGAACTGCTGGTACAGCAGTAGTAGCAAAAATAGTTGCTGTTGTGAAATGTTATATGTCGTCGTTTCAAAGTTTCCACTTGTGCTCTCTTTATGTATAAATTTTGGTGTGTAGAATTTGCGAGTTTATTTTTACATGGCTAAAATATTCTCATTGCGTATTGATTCGTTTTCGTTTGCGCTATTCGTTTGTTTTATTGAAGAGTACCAATTAGGAAGTTATTGGCCGGTTTATGCCGCCTTTATAATCACCAATAATAATACTGAAACAGATGGGAATGTCACTGTGATCAGATGGGAATCGAAAGGTCACTCACCACCCATCAATGAAGCCAACCATCTGTGAATAGCAAGCGAGTGATGACCATTTGATGACCAGTACCCGCTGAGGGTTACTGATGCAATTTGACAGTAACATCTATCTGTTTCTTTATGCAAATATCCCTGTTTAATCGCTTTCCGCCCGTTCCTCTGTGTCTGCTTTATCCTTCATTATCCAATCCAGTGACTCATTAGGCCGTAACTCAGGCGGACGCTATTGCTGCAATTAGCGACAACTGTTTTTTGATGACTGACGAGTCTGAATACTGCGTGAATCAAGTTTAAAGTTGAACGAATAAAACTGAAATTCGGATGTGTATTTGACAGCTGCATCATCATTTTACACACATATTGTGCGTTTATTAGTCTCAGTCGTAGGCGATCGATTTGTACGTATAACATGATTGATCCGATTAGTTATTGATCACAATAATATAAATGATTAGGCGAGGAAAGCTCGTGTATTTTTGCTTTTGACAGTGTTGTTTTTCACTCGAAAATGTTTTTAGTCGTTGAGCAGGGCTTGTCCCGTTTCACAAAGGTTTGAACTCGGAAAGTTTTTAGAGTGTGGTATCTGGAACTATCATATAGGTGCTGCATACGTAACCCATAGCAACCTTGCGGGTGTACAAAGCAACAACTCATTTGAGCGCATAAAGTAAGAAGTATTGTATAAAGTAAGTAAATTAATTGACTAGTAAATTATTACTGATTAAGAAGTATTGTCATTCATATTTTCATGCTCTCCTCTCTGATGCGTTGTTCAATTCAATTCAAGTAGGATGTTGATCCGGAAGGATGATCGCTTTCAGAACAATAGAATGCAGTGAAAGTATGACTACGGTAATGAGCGTGTTGTTACCACTATACGTATTTTGCACTTTCCTCTATTGTACAATTGAAACAGATTCGAAAAATGAAGAGAGTAACTTTCAAGATGAGAGCGTGAAGCAGAACAATATTCAACTGGGTGGCAGCAGGTTCGATTTGATTTGATTTGAATTTTTGAGTTTTGTTGTTCGAAACCAAATGTGGCCAAGTCACTAATATCATTGAGTTATTGTTAATATTGTTACTTGGACGTCGAGTGGTTGTTTTGTCAATCGCTGCGAGTAATCGGCGGAATATTTTTATTACTAGAGTTATGATTATTTATTGGATTGATATTTGGCTACGATTAATTGTGCAAAATATTCATGGCTACTAGTTAATTATTCGGTTGTGTTCGGTTGGCCTGCTCGCCTAGCCAGCGGGGTGGCGTAAATTGAGGCTAAAACAATGTGCACGGAAACGTGAGCATTGTGGCCAGCAACGTTACAAACGTTTGATAGTCTGGCCAATCCAGGTAATCTCTTAAATACGTCTCGGGGGAGGGGTTTAGGTAAAAATGGCATCAAAATAATGCGACAAAAAGAAAAACTTCAGAGGGTCAACAGCAGCTCGATTTCGGATACCGAAAAAATTCGATGTGAAAGGCACAAAGTTGGACTCACTGAAAGCGATGCTAGACGAACGTGCCAGATGGTTGGAAATTAATAAGGTTAGAGGATTGTTGCATTGTCGGCAAAGGTGTTATTTCACTTCTATCCACGTTACTCACTCTCAAGGACCCCCCCCCCCCCCCCCCCCC